CTTAACAAGCTCAGCAACTTCATAAATAATAGAATGTAACAGAATCTTCTTTAACTACAAGCATGCTTATAACAAGCTCAGCACTTAACAATGCATCAAAAGCTCTCTTTAACTGCAAGCATGCTTATAAACTGATTCTTAGCTAAAAGAATAGAATGTAACAGAATCTTCTACATAGTGACATAAACAAGCAAGGCAACAGTCACTACACAGAAACAATCCGCTTTTCTTGTTGAATCAGGCCGAAATAAAATTGGAAGATGAACAAAGAGAGGCTTTTTATGAGTAGAGGCCTGTTTAAGGCCATAGAGGCTTTTTAAAAAAAATCCAATCCGCATAAGAAACAATCCGCATCTTCAGTAACAATCCGCATCTTCAGTATAGAAATCACTTATAAATTCAGTAACAATACGCATCTTCAGTATCTTATTGAATCAGGCCTGTTTAATCTTATTCTCATGGCCGAAACAATCCGCATCTTCAGTAACGATTGAACATCTGATTAAAAATAAAAAAATTGGAGTGCACAGACGGTGCTTCAGATCACGATTTACATACCGTTGTTGTTGGTGGTCGATGGAGTACACGGCGGATCCCTTTTCACGCCCGTCGATATTGAGTAGAATGTGGAAACAGATTCGGAACAAAATTAGGGTAATGATGGGAAGAGGCAAAAATCACAACTGAAAGATCGATTAATACATAAGAAACGAGATTTACCTCACTGGCCGTGATTGTTGTAGAAATTCGTCGTCCAGAACGCCTTGATTTTTGTCGGCAATTCGCGATTTCGGAAGAAATCAGATCTTAAAACCGATGCAGGGGTAAAGATGTCATTGCAAGAGTACCATATAACTTAATCCCTCAAAGTAAACAATAGATTATTTGCACACAAAATATGTCATACAAGTAAACGAGGGATAGGTATTGGGACAAATTTGTGTTATCCTGTCCCCCAAAGTAAACGACCCCTAAGTGCAAGTAAACTGATTTCTGTTGATGTAACAGTAAGAAAAAAAGAGTTGATCTACATTCTTCCTTAAATTATGTTTGGTAAAACTAATTGATAAGCTAATTTATAGTTTATCAGTATTTTTTTAGCTTGATAACTTATAGCTGAAAAGCTAGCTTATATTTTGAAAGTGTTTGGTAAATTAGCTGATAAGCTAGCTGAAATAATAATTTCAACGGACTTATTAAAAAGCTACCCAAAGAAGCTTAAGATATAAACTCGAGCTTTTTAAAAAATATCGTCTTACCAAATGAAACTTATTTAAATACAGGAAGCTTATAAGCTAACAAAATAAGCTATAAGCTAGCATTTGTATACCAAACATAGCCTAAGTTTATTTTAGACACAAGTAGAGCGTAGTCTCCTCGCATTTGAGTGAATTTTATTTATTCTATATAGTTTTATCTATGTAATTCAAAACTTGAGTTTATTTACATGACACATAAAATAAAATTAGACTCAATGCATTGTAGATTCTTAGGTCACTCTATTCATTATGATGTCATAATTTTATCTAAAATATGCATACTTCCATTTGAAAAGGTTAATCTTTAATAAACAATATAATTAAAAATATGATATTCATAATATAAGTATTCACCTTTTCTTACATAGTTGATTGTCCGTCAAACAATTAGACTATCCTTATTCCTAACTCAATCCAACCAACCTAATAATTAAAAATTATTCTTCTATCTTCCACATACGTAACTCAACATTCCAACTTAATTTATTTTTATTCTCAACTCAACTCAACATAAATATTTATTTAAAAATTGTAATTGTGTTCTAAAATATATCAAATGTGGTCTTTATTTATAGAGAATGCAAAAATATGTATTTTCGTATTTTTTTAAACTTTTTTTAAAAATTAACTCTTGTCGCCTCGTCGACCATACCCGTCGCCCGAAAATATTGTTCCCGAAGAATAACTAGGACCAATTTCGTCATGTTTTCGTTGAACACTTTCTATTTTTGATTATTTTCAAAGGAGAAGATTCTTCTCTTTACCAAACATATGTGGATCCAACCACGATCCTATAATTAAGAACAAGAGATCTTTCTCGATCAATCCCCTTGCCCCTCATTCTTCGAGAATCAGAAAGGTCCTTTTCAAGTTTGAATTCTCAAATGGATCTGAGTTCATTGTTAGCTGTGAGGGGGCGAAATGCCTTTGGAGGGCATCAGACGCGCTTTAGAATTAATACACTTGTCCAATAAAAAAGAAACAAATGTTCCATTTTTTCTAATATACCGATCGTGAACCAAAATCACAACAATGTGACCTGAATCGCTCAAGTTGTGACTTTTTTTTTTTTTTTAATTCTCCTGACCATCATTGGTCACGGATAAAAGTAGTCTTATGACCGACTCATACATAAATTTGTGCTATCGAAATACCATAGTTTTTAAACCCGACCCGGTAATTGACCTGGGCAGGTTTTCGGGTCACCGGGTCACCGGTTCAACTGTCGGGTCACCGGGTCAATTGCTGAACCGGATAATTAATTTTAAAATTTATAAAATTATATATAGAGTATTTTGTGATATATAAATATACATAAAAATAACAAATTTAAATATTTCGTATGTAAAATTTGTAGATTAAAGTGGTAATGATATTCTAATTCGAGTTCAATTGTACTAAGTTGACTTCAATTAGACTAATTCGAGTTGAATTGTACTAATTTGACTTCAATTGTACGAATTTGACTTTAATTGTACTAATTTGACTTCAGTTAGACTAATTTGACTTCAATTGTATATATTTATCATATAAATATATATACCTAATTTTATTTTTTAAAAAGAAAAAGAAAATCAAAAAACAAAAATAAAAAATAAAAAAATACATATAGACCGGGTCAACCGGGTTGACCCAGCCGGTCAATGCCCCGGGTCGACCGGGTCAAGGCCGGTTCGATCAGATTTTGACCGGGTTTGACCGGTCCGTTGTTGCCCGGTCCAATTAACCCACCCGGACCGGTTCCGGCTCCGGGTCGACCGGGTCCCGGGTCGACCCGCCGGGCCGATCCGGGTCACAAACGACTGCGAAATACTAAGAACAAAAATGAAATTAATGTAAAGTTATAATGAAAATAAATAAATAAAAATTCAATAAACACAAAAATAATCACCCTAAAATTCTTTAACGTGCCGTCAATTGGCCATTTGCCACGTTCCTCCAAATCCTTCACCCACACGTCATTCTCTCCTCCTCCGGGGGCCCAAATCCCCCCTCCGCCACCATTAACCGCCGCCCTTAACCTAAAACCTTCCAAACTCCACCGCCACATTCGCCGGAAAAATCTCTTTCCACCAAATTAATTAAATACTTAATCGCAGAGTTTCTATATCTAATCCACCACTGATTAATCTGTCCGATTTTCGAAAATGGTAGGCGCAACCGTTCGGGAGATTGCGTGAAAGCTATG